GAAGAACATGACATGACTATAATTCTGACAGACTCCTTAAACTTGATGATCAGTAACAGTGAAGAACATGACATGACTATAATTCTGACAGACTCCTTAAACTTGATGATCAGTAACAGTGAAGAACATGACATGACTATAATTCTGACAGACTCCTTAAACTTGATGATCAGTAACAGTGAAGAACATGACATGACTATACTTCTGACAGACTCCTTAAACTTGATGATCAGTAACAGTGAAGAACATGACATGACTATACTTCTGACAGACTCCTTAAACTTGATGATCAGTAACAGTGAAGAACATGACATGACTATACTTCTGACAGACTCCTTAAACCAACTTCATCACAAAATTGAAGACAGGTTATGTCAAAAGACCTTTTACATGAGTAAAACCTTTCACAGAGTTGAAGGTTCATCTGATAAATATTTGTATTCTAGGTCAGAGCGGCATATTATTTAATGAGAAAATGGACCAACTAGCTGGTAAAGTATAGCCCTTGGGCTACCTGTTACGACCTTTAAATGATATTGTCTATGAAACAGCATGAAGACTGAGGGAACGACAAATAATGGAAGAAAGGTCACACTGGTCAACTGTAAGAGTGGAGGAAAGAGGATGGAAGTGGAAGAATGAGGGAAGAATAGATTATCCAAACTTAATCATAACAAAAAACCCTTGAGGAGATTATTGTATAGCTTTTATCAGCGTCGGTGCCAAACTTCCCAAGCATAAAATAGTAGAAGTAAAAGCAAAATCATCTTATTTCCATTAGATACCTTGTGTTAAAATATGAAAATAATGATAATTAAAAGTAATGCACAATAATTAATAAGAATAAAAGATACAGGGTACGAGTGGTTTCTGCAAGCTGTGTGTTCTCCCTTTGGCAAGTAATTCGGAATTGGGATGGTGCAATGTTATATTGATTGCGCTCTAACAAACGCGACTCCACAATTGTGCTTTGACATTTGGTAACCTACTTAGCGTGCAAGTCAATAAATAAATTTAAAGACTTAATTAAAACTTGTTGTGAGATGTGAATTAAAAACGTACCCCGTTCTCAAAGGTTGTATAAATTGCATACACTAAAATGCTATGAAAATTCCGAGTACTTCTTTTAACTGTCAGTAACGTAGCAATAAGTAAAAGAACATTAACATTTGTATAAATACCATTACTATCATAAATCAACTTGATAAAGCACATATCATATTAATAATAAAAACAGAACTTATTGAGACTGATACTTTGAGTTAAAAAGTGCATACTTTATTAAAGTATATATTATTATTAGTCTCCAAAATGAATGCCTTATTGACACAGCGGTATGTCTGCGGAGTTACAATGCTAAAAACCGGGTTTCGATATCCGTGGTGGGCAGAGCACAGAGAACCCGTTGTGTAGCTTTATAAACAAATCTTACGAGTTAAAAAATAAATCAATATTAAAAACAACTGAAAATCTTTATGAATTAGGTGTAACATAACATTAGCTGGTGTTCAGAGAGCGTGAGAAAGTGGCTGGTTTTTGGCCAGTCTCTAAGAAACTGGGAAATACAGTACTTTAAGTGATTAGAAAATGATTTGAATGATTATGAAAAGCTTTAATCTGGTATACAGGAAAGAATTGTCAGGTCGAAAGAAAATAAACGGGTTGGGCGTGGGTTTGAGAAGAAATATAAAGGACAGAAGTTCAACGAAAATAAACCAAGCGAGAAGACCGGGATATATGAGAGAACGAACAGGCGAAGGGAGAAAGTAATATGCTGCCACAAAGAACCAAAATCTAATTCTGGATCTATGTGTCATTTATTGCCAAATATATTCAGCACTGTGTTATGTTTACATCGATATGAATTAATTCCTGATAAGAATAAGTAAAATCTAAATAAGGTAGACGGAAGGCAGCTATTACAACATTACCCACCGCCCACTCTTGGATTACTCTTTTACCAAAGAATAGTACGATTGAACATTACATTATAACGACTCCACGGCTGAAAGGACGAGCATGTTTGTGACGGGATTTGAACCCGAGATCCACAGATTGCGAATTGAGAGTTCTAACCACCAAGCCAGACACATTTAAACGAAACTATAATTCCTTTGCGTGTATTTCCTAAAAAAAATAGCTGAAAATTTATCCATCAGTCATTGAATGTAATGATCTTATTTTACATTTAAGATACATTACATTAAAGTTTCAATTACACAGTTAATTCTGTTCCCTTACCACTAGGTTTTCACCAGACCTGGTTCTAACAACATTGACATAAAGTTAATTCTGTTCCCTTACCACTAGGTTTTCACCAGACCTGGTTCTAACAACATTGACATAAAGTTAATTCTGTTCCCTTCCCATTAGGTTTTCATTAGACCTGGTTTTAAAAACATTGACATAAAGTTAATTTTGTTCCCTTCCCACGAGGTTTTCACTAGACCTTGTTCTAACAACATTGACATAAAGTTAATTCTGTTCCCTTCCTATTAGGTTTTCATTAGACCTGGTTCTAACAACATTGACATAAAGTTAATTCTGTTCCCTCCCCACTAGGTTTTCATTAGACCTGGTTCTAACAACATTGACATAAAGTTAATTTTGTTTCATTCTTACTAGGTTTTTCCTATACTATATTATTCATACAAATTTATGTAGCAGTACAAAGCAAACAAGGCAGGGATATACATAAAAGAGAGAAAGTAGATATTCTCATTGTCAGGTTAAAATAAATAAGGCAGCGATTTACATGAAAGAGAGAAAGTAAGATATTCTCATTGTCAGGTTAAAGTAAACAAGGCAGGGATATACATGAAAGGGATAAAATAAGATATCTTCATTGTCAGGTTAAAGTAAACAAGGCAGCGATTTACATGAAAGAGACAAAATAAGATATCTTCCTTGTCAGGTTAAAGTAAACAAGGCAGGGATATACATGAAAGGGATAAAATAAGTTATCCTCGTTGTCAGGTTAAAGTAAACAAGGCAGGGATATACATGAAAGAGAGAAAGTAAGATATCCTCGTTGTCAGGTTAAAGTAAACAAGGCAGGGATATACATGAAAGAGAGAAAGTAAGATATCCTCGTTGTCAGGTTAAAGTAAACAAGGCAGGGATATACATGAAA